TCATAAAAGTTTTTTTTTTTTTTTTTTTTTTTTTACTTTTCGCTTTAGAAAAAATTTCCCTAAAAAAGAATTTGCTGAGAATTTACTCGCCCTCTGGCCATCCAAGGTGTAGAAGAGTTTGTGTCTTTTTTGGAACAGATATGGAGTAATTTAGCATTCTATCACTTGTTCAGCAATGGATCCTCTGCAGTGAATGGGTGCCGTCAGAATGAGAGTCCAAACATCTGATACAAACATCACAATAATCCACAAGTAATCCACACCACTCCAGTCCATCAATTGGCATTGTGTGAAGCAAAAAGCTGTATCAAATTCATCAAGATGTTTTTAACTTTAAACCGTAGCTTCTAGCCAAAATATGAGTCCATTATCCATAATAATGCTGTTTGCTTGTAAACCGTGATTGATCTGTGCATTTTTCTCTCCTGATTCAGACAAGACGACTTTTTCAATGGACAAAAGCAATATTATGGATAGAGGATCCATATTTTAGCTGGAACCAATGGTTTGAAAGTGAAATGCTTTATTGATGGATATGTTTCTTATTTGTGGATTATTGTGATGTTTTTATCAGCTGTTTGGACTCTTATTCTGACGGCACCCATTCACTCCAGAGGATATATTGGTGAGCAAGTGATACAATGCTAAATTTCTCCAAATCTGTTCCAAAGAAGAAATATCTACATCATGGGTGGGTCAATTTTCAGCAAATTTAAATTTTTGGGTTAACTATTCCTTTAACCATAATAACCTTGCCATGCACTAACCGTTTTTCACCCGTTACTAGATGCATGACAGTGCTCATACTAATCACTGATGCCCGTACACATATAAAGAGAAATAATAACCACACTCGGCGTGCGAGTCACCCTTTTGTTCCCCAACCTCGCGGTCAATCACGATAATACCATTCAGTAAGGCGACAGTAATGCAGCCCGTATGCAAAACCTGCCACCGGTATGCTAAACAGGATTTACAAGCCTGATATTGATGCAGCCTAATTTCTGAAGCGAAGCACAGGAAGTATTGTCAGTACAGATTTAGTCGTGTTATCCAGGGATATTCAACAACTCCTCTGAAAAGTATATCATAATGGCTTCCTTTTCTAGTTGCCGCACTTTGGTACGCGTCTGGTCTGCTGGCGTTGTAGCAGTTACTCTCCGAACGGCTCAGATATCAGCCGCCATCCATCATTGGGTTAACGCTTTTCGCCATGTTGGTAATGATCGTTCTCTGCAGGATTATGCTGTTTCTGCACCTATCTAATTAGGTCCTCTCTCTGATAGCGATGTGTCTCGTTGAAAATGGGGCTATTTTGTATTAAAATATGATTGATTGCCTGGGTTGCTTGCTGTGCATCCTCAGGAACCGATGTAGCGGAGGCATCAACCTCGATGAGTCATGAGTAAATGACAGACTGCTTGTTCTGTTCCCATCAGTTCCATGAACACGGCAACACAATGGTCCATGAGACACACACAGACCGAGCTGAGAGGGAGAAAAAAAGATTTGACACAACAGTAATGGAAAGTTGTGAATCAGCTTGCATGGAGATGGAGCTTTATTTTTTCTTCTTTGTTTCTTTCTCTTGCACTTTCCACAAATGGGGTACAAAGCAGTGTCTGAAATGCTCTTTTTCAGCCAAGCATCAGTGAATGGAGGTATTTAACCTTCAGAAAATGTTGATCGTCTACCTCGGGAGGTCAAGCTAAATATTATATGAGCTGTTTTGTTGCATCTATATCATATGAGGCTTGCAAACTTTTGCAACACTGCAACGCTAGAATATAGTTTAAAACCCTGTTTTTTTCTATAATTTGATTTAAAATATTGCTGTTTTTATGGGTACGGTTGCAGGTTTAGCAGAGACATGCTAGTTTCGGACCAAGGGTTGGAATTATAGTTATTGCAACATACACACACACACACACATAGTTAATGTGTGTGTGTGTGTGTGTGTGTGTTGCATGTGTGTGTGTGGCTTGTGTACTGCATCATCACTGTGTCTGTCACGGGACTCTGTTGCCCTTTCGGGCTTGACCTGATGGTAAAATTAACAACATTATTAACTTGATCTTGATATTTACTTTGAAAGCTGAAGCTCGCAATTATGGTAAGGTGCTTGCTTGTTTAGAAAATGCATGCTTGTGGTGTTCGGCCAATCACAATGCACTGGGTCAGCTGGCCAATCAGAGCAGACTGCGCTTGTCAAAGGAGGGGGCTTTGTTGAAAACGACCTGTTTGAGAGAGGCGGGGCATAGAGGACCTACAATAATGTACAGTATTTTAAAAATAATGTGTTTTTTGAACATTAAAGCATGTCAACATATTCTGTTACACCAAATACACAAAATAATGATTTTTAAAATAGCATCATATGACCCCTTTAAGCATAAAAACAATATGTGGAAGAGAAGAGAAGAGACCCATTACAGAAGAGACCCATTAAAATGTCATTAAGTGTAACAATCCTGTCAGGCATATTTACAACAAAAATCAATTTATGACACATTAAAAGACTAATTACTTTCACCCCAAATACTAATTAGTTCTAATTTCACACTTTTAAAATTTGCCGCTATCCTAGGTTTTGCCCATTTGTCAGTAAGAATTTTTTACTCATTTAAAACACAAATTTAATATGCTCCCTTATTCTTTGATATATTTTAATATGTACACGGCAGAATAAGCATGTTATTTGAATTTTTACATAAATATTGTGTTATACTGAATGACAATGCAACATTATTTCAACCAAATTTTGACATTCTATTCTCCAAAAACTTATTTGAAACCTTAAAAGTAGACACTTTACTTACATTTAATGTGCTTTCTATGGACATAAAATCACTTTTGTAAATTTCTTTTGATGCGGACATCTTAATGTCTTTGACCCATATCTGTTTGATGATTATTTCTTACAATACCTTTGACAGCAAGGTTAAATGTTTAAGCTCATTTAATTTTCTCAGTTTTTACATATATTACTTGTATTTTCTTTTGCTATTTATTTGTTGTTTGTTTTTACATTTTGAAATCAGTCAATCAATCAATTAATCAATAAATCAATCAATAACCAGGCAATTTTTTACGTATATTAACAGTACTTCTGCATCAAATAAATAAATAAATAGGTTAATGCTTATTTAGTTTTCTTAACATTTATGCTACATTTGTGTACAAAAATAATAAAAAATAATTCTGTCATGCTGTAAGGAAACCCGAATACAGACGTTTGTTACATTTAAGTCATTTTTCCTGCTAGGCTATTCTTATGTTAAACATTAGCTTTTTAAACATAACTCATCATTTGAGTTTTGACTTATGAACTCAGCTCAACCACTGAAAACAGGAAGTTACACCTGTCTACTTTTCCATAACTCTCTCTCTCTCTCTCTCTCTCTCTCTCTCTCTCTCTCACGCATATGAACTGAATGCTTTTAGTTTCGAGATGCTGCAGTAAATCAAACCAGTCCTCTAGAACGAAACCTTAATTAGGTGCACTTCTATAACATAGTTTAGGCATGCTCTGTCTGGCACGCATCCTTGTACGATTCGCAAGTGCTGTTGGGAATAAATTGTGAGAGTGTATTGTCAAACAGTGAGTAAATCTAATAAAGCCATGTGAGCAGATGTATGCATGCTCTCAGATCAAATTCCATTGAAATTCACAAGGCCTCCTTTGAAAGTGTCATAAACAGTCTGTTGACCCAGAAGGGTTTTGAGGAAGTTGATGATAAATGAGGGAGAATGTTTGTCTGTGTTTGTTTTCAGATATGCAAAGCAGACAAGGCTTTGAAAGACAGGAATGAGGTACATGCTCACAGCTTTACATATACAACATGCTGTACATGAGTTTTACATTTTCTGAATAAAATGTGAGTGGTGTTTGTGTGTGCAAGGATGTTGTGGGTGGTTGCTAGGGTTTTACTAAGCAATTGTAAAACCCTAGCAAAATTTACTACAATTAAGAGAATAGTTCACCCAAAAAGGAAAATTTGCTTAAACTTTACTTATCCTCAGGCAATCATGTAGATGAGTTTGTTTCTTTATTGGATCAGATTTGGAGAAATGTAGCATTCCATCACTTGCTCAGCAATGGATCCTCTGCAGTGAATGGGTGCCGTCAGAATGAGAGTCCAAACAGCTGATAAAAATCTAGCGTAGCGTCAGTTCTGGCAGGTCACGTTAGTCAAGCTCGCATCAGCTGACTCTCAGCTGATCCCCATCAACCTATGGGAATACGACACCTATCTAAGTATTCATATATAAGGTCCCGCAGTAGTATCAGCAGTTTTCGCATTGCTCAATAGCTAATTACCCTCCTCCATCCCCAACTCCTCCTCTGTCAGTTAGGATTCAGCCTTCTGATTCTCCTTGAATCAGACTAACTCTAAAATGTGTACATAACATTATTGAACTTTAACGATATCTGCAATACATTTATGTTGGTTCTGTTCTGTTTAGCCTGGGGGGGTTATCGCTGCTCTCCCTGCTCTCATCCATGCTAGGCTGCATGGATGCACAGGGAGTTCTTGCCCAGAACGGAACCATACCGCCAATCCAAACTGTATGCTAATTGTCAATCATCTTTGACGATAGTGGTCCTGACAGAAACATCACAATAATCCACAAGTAAGCCAAAAGCTGCATGTTTGTAATAAATCCATCAAGCGTCTTAACTTCAAACCATTGGTTCTGGCCATAATCCATAATAACACTTCCTCCAGTGAGAAAGTCATCCCATCTGAATCAGGAGAAATATGCACAGATCAATCGCCGTTTACAAGCCAAAACCGTTCTAAACAAATATGTTCGTGAATTTTGATGTGAGAGGACAACAGGGGAGGGATTTATGTATTTATTTATTTTTACTGGAAAAAGTGTTATGGACTCCTATTTTGGCCAGAAGCAACAGTTCAACAGAATCTTGATGAATTATATGCAGCTTTTTGCTTCACAAATGTTAATTCTGTCATGACAACTCTCAGGGAGTTTAGTATAGTAATGTACATGAGAATGTTAATGTGTTTAGTCTTGGTGGAATAGATCTGCTATGCTGCTGCTGCTGCGGCAGAGCAAGTACAGAGACTTGCTACTGCCAGTACATCCACAACATGCTGCTGTGAGCATGTAAGAAATAATGCTGCTGCACATATAACATATGAAATAACCCCCATATGCAACATGCATAAAATTACCTCGTATCAGATCTATACAGGTGGAGCTGGGGAAGGTGGAGGGTTTCTGAAGCGCGCTGCAACTGCTACAGCAACTACTAGCTGAGTGTTTGAATGTTAAGCAGCAAGTTCATTGGTTGCTGATATGAAAAGAAACCAATCAGCTCCGCCATGTGAATAATGGTGTCATTATGTCAGATTGAGTTAGACTCGGTCTGCGCCATCTAGATTTTCATGACAGAACTTTGGATTTGATGGACTGGAGTGTGGATTACTTGTCGATTATTGTGATGTTTTTATCAGCTGTTTGGACTCTGACGGCACCCATTCACTGCTGAGGATCCATTGCTGAACAAGTGATATGATGCTACATTTCTCCAAATCTGTTCTGATGAAGAAACAAACTCATCTACATCTCGAATGACCAGAGGGTGAGTACATTTTCAGCAAATGTTCATTTTTGGGTGAAGAACTATTCTTTTAATGAATATGACATGAGAAAACACTGACTAAATCTAAAGGAAATTTTCATCAAAAGTATGACTAAATCTATGACAAAAAAGTGAAAAGTGGCACCTTTGGCCATGCATTCCTGTCATGACTTGTTTTTCACCCATTTTTATTGTGCAGCTAGAAAAGTATAGCATCACTCCTAAACACACTGCATGAGTTATACACCGAAGTTTAATACGTGAATTCAGGGGTTTGTTCAGGTCCCTAAGCCTTTGTACTAGTGTAAGCAATAATAATAGTGATGCTTGTCTTAGCAAACACCATTAATTACTTATGATGTCTTGAAAGCTCATATGAACATCAGATATTGAGGGCGAATATTGCATACCCTGCTATTACAGTAGAACAATGTGAAGATTTAGATATCATTGATTTACTATGTGCTGCTTATTATTTTGCAGAGTGTCTAAAATGAAGCGAGGGTGTAACCGTCCAGTAGAGGGTCAGCCAAACCACGACACGCCACAATGATGAGCCATCCATTAACAGCACATAAATGGAAAGTCTTTCACTTTGGGTTCCAGTTCTTTATGATGTATTTGCGCTCCGTCCATTGCTCATCTGTCTAGATAACGAATCTTGTGCTGCTCCGCAGGGGCTTTATGTTCTATAGGCTCTGGCAGGGGCGCCTGCAGGATTTCTTCCGAGGGTATGCACAGTTTTTTTTGGGAGGGGAGGGGATCGGAGGGGCAGGGGGGGGGTTATTTTTTCCCCTTTTCCCAAAAAAGCTTATACTACTGTTTCAGCTATTAAAATAGTTCAGTTTTGTATGTAATGGAAAAGTGATTATATTTCGTTTTGTTTTTTTATAAAGTTAATTTAGAAAAATGTTTGGAGCATTTTTTGTTTCCTTAAATGTACGCTTTTTTGTTTTGATCATAGCCATTTGATCAATTTAGCCTTCTCAAATCATCACGACTTGCCTAAAATAAAATCTATAGATATAAAACAGTTCAAGCATATCACAATGTTAGTTTAAATGTTTACCCTACATAAATGCGCGCTGTTAGACGCATATCCAATAGTTTGTGCAGAGAGTGGAAGCTGAAGTGTGTGCACTCACAATATCAACAAAACGTTGTGCTTTTATAAAATAAAGAAAACAAATGCTTTCTGCCGTCTTGGTTTTGAGCAGGAGCGCTTCACAATGATGAACTTAAACTCAGCGACTTTAAAATGAAATAATTCAAAATATAAACTATTTCATTATGTAATCCCTAAAGATGCATTTCTCTCTAAAGGCACCTAATTGATGGATGTTTAAAATATAAAAAATAATAAAAAGCCTAAAACATGCCCGATTAGAATTTGCGTTTTATTTTATAAATCTGTACAATTAAAAAATAAAACACAAATTATAATGACATAAACTTTGTCCTATAATTGTATAGCTGCTTATATTTTTTGGCATGCAAAAGACTGATAAATTCATAATCAACGGCATGGGTTCAGTCGACAGAAATACGGGACACACAGACCTATAATAACTGCTGAAATGTTTGCGGGGCAAATCTCAGGTCAGTCTGAGCGCTCATGGTACCCACAGTGCGTACAGCCGTACACCTGCAGGCGCCACTGGGCTCTGGTACGATGAAGCTCCTGTCAGACCTGCAGTGGTTAATGGGGTCATATTCTGCTCTTTAATAGCATTTTGATACTTTTCCCCCTGAAGTCCACTTATAAAGTGAGTTTTGCCTCCCGAAATTTAGTATTTAGTTTTACACAACCATTTTACACTTTCAATCTGATCCTTAGAAAAGAGAAAAAGCATTTTTGCTGCAGTATTTTTAACACAACCCCTGAGTTCACTTAATAGATATATAAAAGTAAAATGACAAAAAAAATAAAAAATTATTACTGGCATTATAACCGACAACATTTAGCCAATCAGGTCTGACTATGTCACCCACATAATTAATATTCATATTAATAATGTTTGTTTCTCCTACATTTCAGATAATTCCTAAACCACTGTTGATTATTACATATTTCATAACTATATTTAAAATATAGTCATATTTTGCTTCTTTTTTGTTTTTTAGTTTCACTGGACGTTGTGCATTGTGAATATTACCAATCAGTGTTGTGCAACAATCAGCATACTTTAGTATCATTGATATATTATAATAATTTTAATTAATATGTTGAATTAGTTTTTATATTTTCCATTCTCAGTTACGTTTTAGTTACATTTTTTAATTTTATTTTGTAGTGTTTTTGTTATTTTGATTAATTTAAAAATATATATATTTCTGTATAGTTCTTATTAATTTCTATTTCAGCTTCAGTTATTTTAATACTTAAAGTTAAACTAATAGAAAATTATAAATTATGTCTTGCATGGCAACTAGCTGAAATAAGTTACATTTTTTTATTTAAAAATTGTTTTTCAGTCCACATTTGTTTTAATTCAAGTAACAGAGTTTGAATGGTTTTATTTTTAATTTTTGGGTGAATTATTTCTGTAATGAATATGACATGAACGAATCACTGAATCTAAAGGTAAAAGTATGACTATACTATACATTCTTGCCATGCCAAGTCAGTTAATGATAATTATAAATTAATGATAATTAACTGTAAATCAGCAAGCTCTTTCAGTTCAAAAGACCAAGAAAACTCCTGTTTTCCATGTTATGTCCCTTCAGTGTTTACACTGCAGCCTGCTAATTGATTCCTGCTAGATTCTGTGGTTTGTGAGTCAGGGAGAGTGACTGACCCCCAAAGAAAAATGAGAGACAAACCAACATCACGGAATGTGGATGGAACTGTTTGTGTATCTGGCCGCCATCCTACAGATTCCTCGGAAGGATCTGATTTGCCTATACTGATACACATTCAAATTGAATTCAGAGAGCTGTGGCTTAATGGTTAAAGATCTGGACTGGTAAAGTTGTTGGTTTGAGACACAGTAGTGGAAATTCATGAACTTACCATCAGTGCTAACATCTGTTGCAAAACTTTAGGACTGTTGTAAATTTACATTATGAACAGTGTTGGGAAGGTTACTTTGGAAATGTCCATTCTCTCTCTCGCATTGATTACTCTGATCCAAACCGAGCCGAAGCATTGCCAGTCACGACTAACCGATTAATGATTCGGAAATAATCGCTTTAGCACATTCGGCAGGCAATTATACAATAACAATATTAAAATAGCGGGGCAAATCGCTGGCTGCCAGTTACACATTTATTTTCTCAGTAACTGTAACAAATTGCAGTTACATTTATTTTGTCATTAAATTACGTAACGCCGTTACATGTAACTAGTTACTCCCCAACACTGATTATGAAACACATAGTTCCAGCTCTAAATTCTGACTGGTTGAGCTACATTTGAAAGTAACCAATATATGAACATCTGTGACTGCTGAACAATACGACTGTCCACAAAATCCCATTGAAGTCTTGCATTGTGGTGGTTTGTATTGCACAGTCAGGCAAAATTTAAATTTTCTTCAGAAAATGTATGTTAAAAATTGTTTAAATGTTGTCTTTTGCTGAACCAAAACCATTTTATATATGTGATTATGCCTCTTGGACCAGTGTGTTACTGTGAATTTTAGCATTAAGGAAGTTTTAGGCACTCCAGCCTCACTTTGTGCCTAACAGCACCATTTAACTTGAGTAAACTTGCGTTTCTGTGGCTCTAAACTTGTAGCTTGCAGGGTTATTATAGTTAAAGAAAACTAAAACTCGCACCATAAATGTTACTTGAAATCAAATAAACATTAACTGAAATAAAATATTAAAAAACCTTTTGTTATCTAGTTGCCAAGGGAACATCTCTCATTTTTAGTTAGTTTAACTTGATGCACTAAAATAACTAAAACTGAAAAAAATAAAATAAAATATAGCCACAATAATAATAATAAAATAATAATAATAATACAAAATGCAAAAAGTAAATTGACACTTTCACTATAATAATAATTTAAAAAAAATCTAAAAATAAAAACCAATTCAAAATATTAAAGGGGTCATATGATGCGATTTCAATTTGTCCTTTCTCTCTGAGCATAAACACATTTCATTACACCAAATACACAAAATAATGTTCTTTTTAGCAACATCATATGACCCCTTTAATAAAAATAATACTACAATATCTCAATGATACTAAAATAACACTGGTATCTTGCAACATCAAGATTGTGTTTTTGATTACCAAGGAATGAATTGCACTGATGCACTAATAATAATAATAATAATTATATATAATTATTATATATAATCCTGAATACAGTTTGTACATGAATTTCATATTGCTTTAGTGTGTTTTCTTGAATTAGAAAGCAAGTGCTATGCGAAGAATAT